TCGCAACCAGACAACAGAAACAGGGAGGGAGGGAGGAAAGGAAAGTATTGGAATTCAAGGGAGGCCTGGAAGGGAATTGATGAATGCAAGTGAGCTGAGATAGCCTAGGATAGTCCCAATATCCCAAGTTCAAATTCTGGGGAAACTCCGAGGGATTGTTCCCAAGACAAAATGAATGCAATTGATTGGTGGACAGATGAACTGTAGGGAGGTCCAGGGGAAAAAGGGGATTTTTACCTATGCTAGTTTTCATGCGAAAATTTCAGAATCGGCTTTGCTACTTCTGTGCCTAAGTGGAATTATACTCTTGGAAAATAATGTCCTAGGACTTTTGGGGGGCTGCATTTATCCATGGGACAGTTGCCTTTTAACTGCATTGTAAAGCTACTGCACATTTCCTTTGCATCCAACTATGTATTTTCGAAAGCACCTTGGACATGACCTACTTACAAGCTTTCTTTAACATCTGCCGAAGGAGAAGGTGCAGATGTTTTCCCCAAAGACAGGGAGATCCTTGTTATGATTTTTTTTAATCTCTATATTACATCTGGATCCTGTTCTTCCTGCAAAAGCTCAGGGCAAGCTCTCTGACCCGGGCTGATCTTCAAAAGTTAAATAATCATTTGTTAAGAGTTGGATTTGGGATGGCCAGAAAAATTGTAGATTAGGAAATTTGGAGACATGATCAGACAAATGTTTTCTTCCTTGTGGAGACCTGGTCCTTTTCAAAGGGCAACTGGACTTTCTTGGTTGTTTTCCTTGAAAACGTTTCACTTCTCCTCAAAGAAGTTTCTTCAGTTCTCCAGTTCAGATCTGAAGAAGCTTCTTAGATGAGAAGTGAAAAAGTTTTCAGGGGAAAAAACCCAAGAAAGTCCAGTTACCCTTTGGAAAAACACTTTTGGGACAACCTGGATGACTGAGAATCTTCATAGACATCCACATAGAACTATTGAGGATCTACAGCTGAGCCACGGTGGCGCAGTGGTTAGAATGCAGTTACTGCAGAATACTTCTGCTGACCTCTGGATGCCTGCAATTTGGCAGTTCAAATCTCACCAGGCTCAAGGTTGATTCGGCCTTTCATCCTTCTGAGGTCGGTAAAATGAGGACCCAGATTGTTGGGGGCAATAGGCTGATTCTGTAAACTGCTTAGAGAGGGCTGGAAAGCACTGTATATAAGTCTAAGTGCAATTGCTATTGCTATATGCTGACAATATCCAATTGTACAGAGCTGCCTCTGGAGATAGAGGAAAGGCCATCAGTGTCTTAAGCCAGTATCTGGAGGCTGTGAGTGTCTGGATAAGCAAAAGAGTTCGAAAGTGAACCCAATTAATTTGGAAGTGCTGTTTGTTTACCACACAACTCCAATGCTTCTGTTGTGGTCTCTTGACAGCTTAGCACTGTCTCTGCAACAGCACATCTGTCTCTTGGGGACCTTCCTGGTCTCATGGCAACAGATAAAAGCAGAGTTAGAGGCTGTGGCCAGGAAGGCTTTGTTGATGTATCGGTTGCAGTCCTACCCAGACCCGCAAGGACCTTGTAATTATAACTCATGCTCTGATCATCGTCCATTTATACTAATGCAAGTCTCTCTCTCTCTCTCTCTCTCTCTCTGCAGAGCTGCCTTTGAAGGCTGCCCTGAAGCTTCAGTTGACTCAGAATGAATACTGGCTGTACACATCTGCGACATGGACATGAATATTAACACCTCTGGCCCTGGACTGGTTCCTTATTTGCATCTGAGTAGAATTCCAAGTGTTGCTTTTAACCTTCCAAGACCTAAAGGACCTGGCACTACTTACGGGACTGTCTTTTTCACCAGGTCTCAACTGGCCCATGACATACGTGACAGGAGAGCTTTCAACAGTTTTTTCCCCCACCCATTTCTGCAAAGTGTGCGATTTTACAGAAGACATTGTTGAAAAAGCACTGCGCAATCTAAAACCATCTCTATCTATTGGACTGGATGGAATATGTGCCTACTTCTTAAAAAAGCTATCCACTGCCATAGCCAAACCTCTAAGCATAATCTTTGAAAAATCTTTCAGGACCAGCTCCTTGCCAAAACTATGGTCACAAGCCACGGTCATCCCCATCTTCAAAAAGGGAGACCCCAGCCAAGTTGAAAATTACAGACTAATCTCCTTATGCTGAGTTACCTGTAAAGTCATGGAATCAATTATTAACCAATCCATCATCCTCCACTTAGAAACAAACAACCTACTCTCCAAAAAACAATTTGGTTTCAGGAAAAAACTATCATGTAATCTGCAACTCTTACATTGCAAAAACATATGGACTACACAACTTGATCAGGGCAAAGCAATAGACGCAATCTACATAGACTTCTGGTAAAGCCTTTGATTCAGTGGTACACGACAAACTACTCCTAAAACTAAAACCTTACATTATCTCTAGACACCTGCATAACTGGATAGAAGCATTCCTGTCAAACAGACAACAAATGGTCCAAATTGGGAGTATCCTATCAAATTCTGTACCTGTCAACAATGGTGTCTCCCAAGGAGGTGTTCTAGGACCAACTCTTTTCATACTCTACATAAATGACCTTTGTGATCATATTAAGAGCAACTGCGTTCTCTTCGCTGATGATGTAAAGCTATTCAACACCACCGACAATACTGCTACCCTTCAAAAAGACCTTGACTATGTATCAGAATGGTCAAACAAATGGCAACTTCAAATCTCAACAAATAAATGCTCTGTCCTACATATTGGCAAAAAATATATATCAGAAAATAAAATACAGGCTGAATATCAAGACCTTGTTGATAATCCAAACTCTTTCAAGGATCTTGGAGTACTCATCTCTAATGATCTACATGCTAGAGCCCATTGTAACTACATAGCCAAAAAGGCATTAAGAGTTGTTAACTAATCTTACGTAGCTTTTTCTCTGGTAATATTACACTAATAACTAGAACATACAAAACATTTGCAAGACCAATACTCGAATACAGCTCATCAGTCTGGAACCCACATTATGTATCTGATATTAATACAGTTGAGAAAGTCCAGAAATATTTCACAAGAAGAGTTCTCCACTCCTCTACTCGTTGCAGAATACCTTATGCCACCAGACTCGAAATTCTAGACCTAGAAAACCTAGAACTATGCCGCCTTCGGTCCGATCAAAGTATAGTATATAAAATCATACAATGCAATGTCCTACCTGTCAATGAATACTTCAGCTTCAACCATAACAACACAAGAGCAAACAATAGATACAAACTCAAGGTTAATCGCACCAAACTTGATTGCAGGAAATACAACTTCAGCAACAGAGTGGTCAATGTCTGGAATACTCTACCTGACTCTGTGGTTTCTTCCCCAAACCCCAAAAACTTTAACCTTAGACTGTCTACTATTGACCTCACCCCTTTCCTAAGAGGTCTGTAGGGGGCGTGCATAAGCACACCATTGTGCCTACCGTCCCTGTCCTATTGTTTCTTTTATTTTTCTTATATGTATCCATGTATTCATAACTATGTTTTTACTTATACCTATTATCTTGTAAACAATTGACAAAAATAAATAAATAAATAAAATAAAAAACAAGCCATTTTGGCACTTTGAAAGAATCTCCACCCAGATCTTCTGGTCTTGGTGTTCTCTAAGCCCTAGGAAAACTGAAGCTTTGTCATAGAGCCTTTGAATTATGGATGCTGCCAGTTATAGCCCAGTGTATGCTCAGATTTGTTATTTGATTATCTTGTTTGATTTGTTTTTATTGTTGACATTTTATTCTTTGTACCAATGGAAACGGTAAACCTCAGAGAGTCCCTCTGCAGTAGGGATAGATCCAGTAAATAAATAGGAGGACAGCTGGGCTCAAAGAGACACATTCTCACGAACAAACAAATCCTCATTTCCTTAGTCTGTTATGATACAGGATCTTCATGTTTCAACTCTTCCACTCCACCCCTGCCCTTGTAGAAATCCAGAGGAATGGGGAAAATACCCGTGATAGCACATCATGTTTTCGGATTAATATCTCTAACATTTGGTGATGGAACATTGAAAATATTTCCTTTGTGTTTTGCAAGAACCTCTACCTTAGCAACTGGTGCTTAGCACAAAAGACATACTACCGAAAACTAAGAAAATAAGGAATCTAAGTATGGGCATTTGTTTTGAAGAGAAGAATTTGGATACTGCAATCCACTTTTGGTTTTCCTCAAACTCCCTTCATTTTAGGACGATATTTAAGAGCTTGGGAGGAATCCCAGTAATCTCCTAGAAATCCACTTCTAAATTTTGCAATCTTCACCAACGCATTGCAAAACATCCATGGACCCAAACGGACAACCTTACTACTTCTCAATATTTGGAGTGAAGAGAAGATATGTCAGCTTTTGATTTTAAGATCTTGGATAAAGGAAAAAAACCTTTGCCAGGTCTTTGTTGGCTATCTTCTCCCCAGAAATGACTGGAAAAGGACAATAGCTTGATATTTAGAAGATTGTAGCATCTTCAAGGAACTCAAAGAAAGGCCCCTGTGATAGGATTCAATTTTTTTTACTACTGGTTCTGTGGGCATGGCTTGGTTGGTATAGCGTGGCTTGGTCGGTGTGGTGGGGGAAGGATACTGTAAAATCTCCATTCCCACCCCACTCCGGGGGAAGGTTACTGCAAAATCCCATTCCCTCCCCACCCCACTAACCTGTTTTCCAGCTCCGTTCTCCTGTGCAGGTCAACCAAAGAAGACTCAGTCGATCAGCTGGAACTCGGGAGGCAGAGAATAGATGGGGTTGGTGGGGCCAGTCAGAGGTGGTACCACCTCTGTCCTGTCTGAAACTAAGAGTGTCCACCTACTGTGCTGCAGACATACTGGGAAATCTCCAAGAATTCCCAAGTAACCATATTGATAGTTATATTGGCTGGAAGAGTTGCAGACCCAGCCTATCGAAATACTTCCAGATTGGAAAAAAGATGACACACAAAGAAAGATTCAGAAAGGGCAGATCCAGCAAGCATACCATGCATAGGTGTCTTTTCTCTTCTCCGCACCCCTGTCACTCTACCTCTTTCATATTCAGAACTCATGGGATGATCCTCGCCTTCAATTAACGTGTAATACTTCCCACTTTCTTGTTCCAAGAAGTAGCTTGGAGATTCAGAACCTTTCATGGCAGACTTCCCAATCCCGTATTTGCTGATTTCATCACATGACACAAGGCCGATGTCATCCCTGGGAAGAAACGAAAGAAACAGTAAGACTGGTACCAAAGGCAGCAGGGCATAACTTTTCAGCCTTCTCATAATAAAGATGATGCACTTGTCATAGGTTCAGGGAAGATACATTAGAGTCCCCGTAATTGTTTGAACTAGAATGCCTGACTGGCTGTCCCAAAAGTGCTTTTGCCAAGAAACTTCTTCAGTTCTGAAGAAGCTTCTTGGACGAGAAGCAAAATGCTTTCAGGGAAAAAAAACAAGAAAATCAAGCTGCCTTTTTGAAAAAGCACCTTTAAGACAATCATGACTTGGAGGATTGAGAATCTCCATAGACATCTTGACTGGCTGGGTCAGAAAGTAGATAACTAGTTCTGATTCATCTAGGAACAAAAGAAAGTTCAACTAACTTAACCCAAAAGTTATCACAGACAAAACAATTCTGGAATAGCACATTGCTATTAAAAAGGAATGTTTATGCAATGGAGAACCTGCATTTTTGACTTCTGGGCCACAAATTCCTTCTGCATATGGACCAGATTGTGCTGTATTGGCTGAAAGAAGACCAGCACAAGAAGAGAAAGTTAATCTGCTAGGAAATCATACTACAAAAATATGACTTTGGTCCAATATATCCACAAGGAATGATCATATCCTCAGAAGGGGATTTATCTAGAGTACTGTTTGAAGTCTAGGATTGAAAAGAATTACTGTATTTCCCCCAAAATGAGACCTAACTGGAAAATAAGCCCTAATGCGTCTTTTGGAGCAAAAAATAATATAAGAACAGGTCTTATTTTCAGGGGAACATGGTATAATAGACATTGGGCGCTGGCTTTCATCACTAAAAGCCAGGGATGATGGGTCTTGCAATTTATGGTTGATTAGGTTTGTAATCCAATGCATTGAACTGCCTTCCCCCATACAGGTAATCCTCAACTTACAACCATTTGTATAGCAACTGTTCAAAGTTACGACACTAAAAAAAGTGACTTACAACCACTCCTTGCACTTATAATTGATGCAGCATCCCATAGTCACATGATCAAAATTTGGGTGCTTTACAATTGACATGTATTTACAATGGTTGCAGCATCCTGGGGTCACATGATCACCTTTTGTAATCTTCCTAGCCATAGTCTTCTCCCAATCAAAGTTAATGGGGGAAGTTAGCTTACCAACCATGTGATAAACTTAACGACTCTGGCAAAAAGGGCCATACAATTGGACATGACTGGCTCATCAACTGCCTTGTGTCAGGGTTCCTGCGATCGCCCTAATTAATTATCTTTGTAAGATAAGCGTGGAATATACTTCTGGTTTTAATTGCTGTACTGCTCCTTCAGGTTCCCGCCTCACCTGCTTATGGCAACTCAAAAACAGACATAGGAGTGCTTTATGAGTTGACACTTTGCTTAGCAATAAACATTCTGGTTCCAGTTGTGATTGTCAAATCAAGGACCACCCGTGTGGATTATTAGACTACAAAACCCTACTTTCTTGAAAACTCACATGGGTTTGCTAATGGTCCTTCATTCGGTGCAAAGTGCAATTCACAAATCAATGAATGCATGAGGATGTCACTTCTCATTTAAAAAGCTTCTTCAGATCTGAACTGGAGAACTGAAGAAGCTTCTTAGATGAGAAGCACTAACATTTTCAGGGAAAGAAACCGAGGAAGTCAGAACCACTTCCTGATTCTTCAATATAAGGCCTGCTGAAGAATTGACTTGTCTGTAATTCCTTTTCCCCAGCAGCTTCAGCTCAGCCAGAGGTTGTCATGAATGGACAATGTTAAGAGTGTTTATTCCTACTACTATTAATTACATTTAATCTGTTGGTAAAATTGTCCTCCCACTTTATTACTGAAAACAATTCCAGAGCAGGATTAATGACCAATAACTTATATACTCTGTTAAAACTAGAGCAACTTTCATAATAAATTAGAAAAAGAACTCTCAAGAAAAATGCTAAAATAACTCCGAAGCAGCCTCTAAACATTCCAGACGGAAAAGGCACGGCAGCATCAGGTTGAAGTGAAAGTTACTGCTGCTATAATTTTAAAACTCTTCCTGAATCAATAGATTTCAAAGTGAGATTCAATCATTAAAACAACATTGAAAATGGAGCAAAGAGGCAGGGGGAAAAGCCTTTCAAATACACGCAGGCTAAAAATTCACACACACTGTCTTCTGCTTAGAGTAACAAACACTTCAGGGGAACTCAGATTACTAATGAAGTTAGCTGTAAGTAAAGGAAGGGGAAAAAAAACTAGGTCCAGAAAAATGCAACAGTTTGAGCTTAAAAAGCAGACCTGGATTAAATGGTCTGTCTAGAGAAGTGTTTCTCAATCTTTGTCCCTTGAAGATAGATAGACTTCAATTTCTAAAATGTTGGCTGAGGAGTATTGGAGAACAGTTGGAGTTGAAGTCTGCACATCTTCAAGTAACTAAGATTGTTGGGGGCAATGTGCTGACTCTGTAAGCAGCTCGGAGAGGGCTGTGGAGCACTGTGAAGCGGTATTGCTGTGGCCCATTGGCCGCTGCCCCCTCCAGCAGCTGAATCAGAAGAGGAGGAGGTGTGGGAGTCAGGGCCAACATCAAGGCAACCTGAGAGCTCAGAGGGGGAAGAGGGAATGGAGCTGGCAGAGAGACAGATAAGGCAAAGCCAGAGCCATCTGTCAGCCCTCAGATGGGGAGTCAACAGCCTCCAGGTCTGGAGGTGGCTGATGAGGAAGAGGAGGAACAGCTAAGTCCAGTGCCTGGTGCATGGATGCACAGAAGGCAGGGGAGAGGAGAGCAGTGGAAATCTATGAGCCGATCCTTGGGATGGAAGAGCCACTGCTGCTAGCAAAGCCCCACAGAAGGCAGAGGAGAGGAGAGCAGTGGAAATCTATGAGCCAATCCTTGGGATGGAAGAGCCACTGCTGCTAGCAAAGCCCCACCCAAGCTCTAGGGATAAAAGGGAGGGAGCAGAGATGAATAGATGTGGCAGACAACTATTCATCCTCCAGACGGATGGCCTTGTTAGTCTGTGGTGAGAGAGAAAATTTTCGCCAGGGCTGCCAGCACTCCTAATTAAAGGAATCTTTTGAGTTCACTTCAGAGGGTTTGTTGTGTTTGGGGAGCTGGGGCAGAACAGGTATATAAGTCTAAGTGCTATTGCTATCATTCTAAACAAGCAGGGGCATCAGTCCTAGGCAAGGCGTACCTGGGGCCATAGAGTCCGGACACGGGGGAGAAGATGAACACATCTTGCAGTGTCGAGTTGTCCATTTTGGAGTTCATACCCATTGTGCTGGTTGGTGTGGTGAAACTGCTTGTTGGGCTGGTTGGAATCACAGGCTGGAAAGGGGATAGGAGCAGAAAGAGAGAAAAAGAGAAATCTACTTAAACTACCTGCATGTAGCCTTCTCCTGTAGTGATATTCTACCAGTTTGGCCCAGTTCGGTAGTAAAAAAAAATGAATCCCACCACTGAGCCTGTCCCACATTATTTCATTGCAAAGTGTACAGTTGACCTGTTGAAAACTTTCACCTTCTGGATTGATAATCACAAAAAGGTCTCTCCAACAGATATTCCACTTGGCTATTTATTAACTGGAAGCCCTTACTTGTTTAGAAGAGAATGCTGTAATACGAGCAAATTATTATTATTTCCCTCTGGAGAATAATTATTTATGCAACATGGACACCCATACACATCTATGCGCAGAGACTTAATCATGGAAAGCAGGAGTTGGCTTGTGGCTCTAACATACTGTGACTCAAGAAGATGAGCCATTAGTTGAAGTCATCTTCAGTTTATAGGCGTTCATAGAATAATCGGATATTGGAACTCGGTGCCTAAAGGGGATTGGTCACATTAAAGCTTAGGCAGAGATGCATAAACACTGTGCATTAATTTTGAAATGGACTTTTTAACGAAATCAAACAGCTCTTCCTCTAAGATATTTAGAAGCAGGGACATTTTGGGAACAGCATGTGGATTGAACATATTGTAATCGCCATTCATAAGAAGTATTATGAAAAGTTTTTTGCCAATTACCTAAGACTGTTAAACATTTCCAACTTTTCTAAGTTTTCAGTTTCATAATTCCTTCAGATCCATCATCATAGCTGGTCTTTTTTTCTTTGAAATGTAATTAACAGCAGAGATGAGCAAGAGAAACACCATCTCTTCTGCTATGTCAAGGTCAACTGTAGTATGGATGCTGGAAAATTTACACAGGGCCTCTACATCCGTAGTAAGGAATTCGTCTGAACAAAGAGAAGCCAGAATATGAGATTTGTATTCTGCCAGAATCAAGATCACACAAAGTGTTAGTACCATGTTATAATGCCTTGGTAAGAACACACTTGGAACACTGCATCCAGTTTTGGTTGGCATGATGTAAAAAAGATGTTGAGACTCTAGAAAGAGTGCAGAGAAGAGCAACAAAGATGGTTAGGGGACTGGAGGCTAAAACATATGAAGAATGGTTGCTGGAATTGGGTATGTCTAGGTTGATGAAAAGAAGGACTAGGGTTAACATGATAGCAGTGTTCAGATATCTGAGGGGCTGCCCCAAAGAAGAGGGAGTCAAGCTCTTCTCCAAAGCACCTGAAGGCAGGACAAGAAGCAATGGGTGGAAACTAATCAAGGAGAGAAGCAACCCAGAACTAAGAAGAAATTTCCTGATGGTTAAAATAATTAATCATTGGAACAACGTGGCTCCAGAAGTTGTGAATGCTCCAACCGTGTAAGTTTTTAAGGTGTACTATTTCCTGTCTGAGCAGGGGAGTTGGACTAGAAGAACTCCAAGGTCCCTTCCAGCTCTGTTATTCTGTTATTTTCCTGGATATTTTGTGACTCCTGTTCTCTGATATTTTTGCCCTTCTAGTTCTTTTTCACGAAACAGAGTTAAAAGGGGCCAAAGTAAATTCCTTTAATTTTAGGGATGTGTGTTTTAATACTGAGCATTTCAAGAAACTAATGAATATGCTTTTATATATCTATAGCCAACAGGGTTTAATTTGGAAATGTACTCCTGCCACAGCATATATTCAAGCATAAGTTTTGCATTTGGAAATATGTTGCTTTTCTGCTTGCCCCAAAATCAAAGTTAGACACTAATTGTCCATGAAATAGTCAATTCCCCTTTCCATAAATATTCATAACACCGTGAAATAATTCTTTAGGAGTATTTCTCTGTGAAGCCTGCTCAGCAATAGCAATAAGGTGATGAGAATGTGGGGGAAAAAACCCTCAGAACTTATTCTGGAAAAAAAAAAAACGCTACTAAAATTCTATGAAAAGAGATTTAGTCAAGAACCTATTTTGGTCCTGTGACACGAAATCAGCTCACTTACTTCTGGCTGGTCCTATCAGAGGTGAAGGCTGCAATTTTAAGATAGAGGTTATTTTTTTTTCCCTAATTAAAATCTGATGACATCAGCCAACAAAAACAACTTTGCTGTCAGAAGGTAATGATTCTTTGCTCTTATGGGAGCATTAAGACTACCCAAAGACAAAGATATATCCAAACATGAGTCTAGATTGCTGGAAGTGCCAACAAAAACATGGTACCTTCTTTCATATGTGGTGTTTGTGTCCCGAAGCAAGGAAATATTGGGCTAAAATTTAAAATTGGCTACAGGAAATTATAGGTCTTCAAACTGAACTCAAACCCAAAATGTTTTTATTAGGAATAATTACAGGAGAATTTAATAAAAGAACCAAGTATATTATAGTACATATAGTGACAGTGACAAGAATTGCCTATGCACAAAATTAGAAATTAGACAGTACCTCTTCCGAAGGTACGGTAATAAAGAAAGTATTGGACTGTGCAGAGATGGTTAAACTTACATCGGAACTGCAAGAGAGGGAGGAATCAGAATATTATATGGTCTGGAATAAGTGGTATAGTTGGTTAGACAAAAGAAATAAGAATTAAAAGTATGTATGTATGTATGTATGTATGTATGTATGTATGTATGTATGTATAAGTGAAAATGTCAATGTCATAGAGTTGTTAAGAATGTACAAGAGACGTGTAATTGTGGAAAAGCATAATCAACATTATTTTTTAAAAAAGAAAGACTAGCCAAAGAACAAGCTGCAAATGCTGGGAGAGATTTGGTGTGTTCTGACCCAAACCTTGTTCCAAGGAAACAAATACGAAACAGAGGTAACCGCAAAACTTTTTAATGATTCGTTTTGAATTCCATTCCTTCATGGTTAAAAGGCTCTTTCAAACTAATTGTCTCTGGTAAGAACGAGCCTTGCCAAGGTTGTGCAAGGCTGCCAAGAATACTAAAGTGACTAAGAAATATTTCAAACACAAGGAGTCTCCAAACACCAACCAAGATATTCCGAACGTCCACAAGGCTTGAGTGCAAAAACTTCTTTGCTTCCTGCAAAGAACTGTGGTTTCTCAGCTGCCTTTTATCTCTTAAGGGAGGTCTTTCTTTTGAGCAGCGCTGTGCGCACGTGCATTGGGCACAGGCTCCTCAGGGACCTCTTCATCACTGCTGCCAGCCCCCACAATATCCAAAGGCAGCATTCCATTCCCTGATGGTCCTGGCCCCATTCCTGCATCACACACAGGCCCTTCTTTTGAGTCCTCGCACTCCAAGACCTCAGCTGTCCGCACCTGCTGCCAGAGACCCACAACAAGTGTCAGATTCTTCATTGGAAGAAAAGGGTGGCGGTGGATTTGATACATTTAATTCTTTTCCTCTCCATGTATCCTAAATATCCTATTACTTACATTGGCTTTGTATAACCATTTACATGATTTATAACCATTTCCTGGTGCCCCAGATGCCCGGAAAAATCTCACCTCTTTGAGGAATGTAAAGGGAGAAGGAGACTTGTGGATTGCAGCACCTGAAGATAACTCCTGGGAACCTTTCCTTATCTGCTTTCTCAGAGATGGTGGGATAATAACATGTTCACACCTGTGGATTGGTGGAATCCACACAGGACAGAAAGGAGGGGTTCTAATTCCCTTTATCTTAGTTGCACGCCCTGAGGGACCCTAGACCCTGCTTTGAATTTTGACCTGCTTTACCCCTCTTCAATAAAAAGATTCCTCTTGAAATACAAAGTTTTCAAGACTTCATACTTATATTTTGAAGGGTGGCGGGGAGAGGCTGGTCCTTACACCCAGGGGGAATAAACTTTCATCAAGACTTTATTTTACAGAGTCTTCAGCGCAGTCCAGCCCATGTAGGGCTGTGGCTCATAATTAAAACATCACTAGCTACAAATGAAAATGGCCATTGAGAAGATAGAGTGGAGATATTGAAAAGGTCAACGCTAGAAGCAAAGGATGGGAATAACAAGGAAAAAGATTTATTTAAAACAGGCCGCAGAAGGGCTTAATCTGTCAGAGATGCTGGAAGGGTGTCATTGCATCATAGATTTTGCAGTAGCAGGTGAGTCAAACTAGAGAAACATTTCTCAATCTTGGCAACTTTAAAAGCCTGTGGACTTCGACACCCAGAATTCTGCAGTAAGCCATGCTGGCTGGGGAATTCTGGGAATTGAAGTCCACGGGTCTTAAAGTTTGCCAAGATGAAAAACACCCCTGCTTGAGTAGATGTTCCCAGCTGTCCTTTAAAACTGGAAGGATCTGAAGATCAAAGGATGGGAAAATCCTCTCTCGCCTGAAACTCACCACAGGCCCTCTTTTCTTGGGTTGCTATAATGTGGGGTACAAATGGGGAACTGCGTCGAGTCCTCCTTCCCCAAACACACACAAATAAGACAAAGAGTTTTACCTCCTTCTCTTTAAAAGTATATAAAAACAGTGTTTATTCACTGGCGACTGCTCAAGCAATCCTTAAACCAATTCCACCGCATGCCCAGTCAGGTGCGTTCTCGAAATGCAAGAACTGATGATGAGTGACAAGCCACTTCATGCAAGGAGAAAATATTTCTCACTCTGAGAAATCTAAATATATCCTCTCCCACTCAACCAGCGATCACTGTTCTGTTGTCATCACAATCAGTCATTCTGCAGAGAGAGAGAAAGTGCCGTGGTGTAGACTCACTACAAAAATCACTTGCAGTGGATCGGTTGGCAACAGAAGGTTGAACATTCTTCCCAGAATCCTTGATCACAGAACAGGAGGTCACTTCTCAGTTTGGTTTTAAGCAGAGATGTACCTAAATGGCAACCTCAAACCCGCCCAAGACCGGCCCCATCATTTTCATTATCTGGATTGTGTTGGGAAACTGCCAGCTAGGCTGGAAGGAGGAGTTAAGTGGGGATCCAGTTTGGAATCATTGCATAGCTATAAGGGGCATAAATGACCTCCCCAAGATGCAGGAAGCTTTATCTTGTTCCCTGGAGA